ATAAATGGTGGCACCACAAGAAGGAATAGCCACCTAAGGAAGGAACACCTGAGTTAGCACTTAATACTAATACCAAAGGACAGTGGCTGCAGGAACGTTCCCAGTAACCTGAAGGTGGAATTGATCTTTCTAAATGCTCTCCTCCTACTAGCCCCACCATCCCATGCAGGACCCCCAACATCCAGGTCTGAGTGTGTAATACTAGGCCAGCCTGCATTATTAATCCTTATAGCAGACAGATGATTTGGAGGGTCTTCCACTTAGCCACCTTGCTGAGTTTCTAGTGACACCATTACTCAGTGAGGCCTGTTAATTTGAAGCCCCAGGCCGGGGAGGAGCACTGACTGTTGACTCTGACCAGGATGATGAAGCTGTAGCGTCACTAAGAGTTTATGAGGCGGGTATCAAGCTACAAGCAGGTGACGGAGACTTGCTCAATTGCAAGTGCAAAGGTATATGCATCGTTTTTTGCTACGCAAAACAGAGACGTATAAGACACAGACCCACTTCAGCACACTCCTGCAAGGTCTCAAGTTTAAAGCAGAGATCTCTGGCTCTTCTCAGCCAGGAAGTGATCTGTCAAAAAGCCATAAGGGGCCACATACTAACACCTGCACTCCACTCGAAGTGCTTGAAAGAGAGACCAGATGAAGCTTCTGTATCTGCAGCCGGAACTCTTCTCCCTCTCTGCGTTGGAGTGTCCTTGGCCGCCATAAACCATCTTCTCTAGTCTTTTCATTTATAGCCAAAGCCATGCTCTGTGGTTACATATAATGTCAGACTCCAGGCACAGTGGAGTGTATTTTTCAAAATGTCTGGCTTCTGTATGTGCTTAAATGGTACTTTGAAAATATTCAGTGATCCAGCAGAGTTGTTCATGCCTGCCTCCTTGTGTAGTAACCAAAGTGTGTATGTAGTATGTGTGTTACATAAACATTTAGCTCCCTTCAGTTCCATTTCATAGCATGTAGGCTTCCCCTACTGTGAGCTTTTAACGGGAGGGCTGTTTACGAACCCTGCTTTTATTTACCAGTGAGTCATCCATGAATTCATGCAGGGAACCTTCCGTATCTGCATGTATCATCCATCATCTTTCGCGCCCTGTTTCTAACTGGGAAAGCCATTTTCACAGTATCAGACATTTTGTTAGAATTAGCATGTTGTACTCAAATGTTTTTCTTCTTCATAGTAGAAACGATTAAATGTACAACTGTGAACAAGTATAGCCCCGAACCACATCATCCAATGAGGAATAAAGATGTTTCTTTGTATTTCCTGAACATGCTTGTAAGTCCACCAACACATTGGTTCAAGTGAAGGGCTCAGGCAAGAGGCCCTTGGAAAAGAAAGGGGGCCTTTCAGTCCCTCTTCCCTCATTTCCTCCCTCTCCATCTTCCCACTTGTGAAGTGTCACTTTGCTATCGGACCTCGAGGCCCTGATTGTCAGGGGTCGGGGGGAACCTCTGGGATCAATGGAAAAGAGAGCAGGGTGAAGAGTGGAGACTTGGGGAGACTCGTAGAAGGGAATTGTTTATATCTGCATGTTTTCCTGAAATGAACTGATGTGTTAGATGATCTTATTCTGGCTCATTCAGCCTCTAGTAGAGCAATGCTAAGTGTATGCTGTTTTCCTGGGTGGTGTTAACTCCCATAAGGAGATGACATTAGCTCAAGGGTCTTAAAGCCATAGAAACCTTAGCTCTAAATGCCCATAAGAGCAAAGCCGCACCCTCCCTTCGCTGCTGGATACAAAGTGCCCTCTGATTTGTCTGTATTCAAATAAACAAACCCTAATTTGAGATTCAAATGCTTTCAACATCCAGACATGTGAGACAATTGAAAACCTTTTGTATCGAACTGGAAATCGACAGACACACATGCCAAATAGCTTTTTCCCTTTGTCTTTGAGCAAAGCAGTCATTTTGTCAGGGATGCTGTGTCACAGACAGCTCGGTGGCAGCCCGTTATCATCCCATCAAACATGACAGGGGGGAGGCAGCAGCAGCATCAGACAGAAATAACCCTTTTCCTGCCCGACGTTTATCTCCGCCTGGGATGAGGGCTCTTTAAATCGCAGGCCAAAGGGCCACTCCGCCGGGCCCCCATTTTGATGCCGTCATGACAAGAGCTGCTTTGTGTCTTGTCGCTGTTTTTGGCATGTCTTTTAACTTGGAAATGCTCTCAATTGACAAAGGTGTAGAAAGTCAGGATATTCTTTACTATACTTACTATTTATTACTAATACTACTAAGATATTTCTACTATTTCTATGTGGAGTCCTTGGTTTCCATGGGGGACAGGGTGATGTTTGCAGGGCAATTTCGGCACACGTTCCACTCAAGAGCTCTCCAAAAGGCTTCTCTCACTCGAGGTGGAGAAGGACGTAGAAGTGCTCCACTCAGCCCTCGATAAGCATCCCTCCCTCCCTCCCTCCCTCCTTCTCCTCTATCTGCCCCCTCTCCACCCTGCCCCCATCCCCGCCCCTGTGCCCTGACCACTGCCCTGCTCACCCCTGCGCTCACGGACAATGGCTCACTTTCAAAGAAAAGCAGGAGAGAAGCGGAGCTGGGTGTCACAGAATTGCCTGTTTGCTGACGGAATCTTTAAAAGCAGCAGCTCATAAATCAAAAAGGAGCATAATAGCCATTGTTTCTCCAAGAGCCACTTGTCCCACTAAAATTCCCCTCCTCTCTTCTCTTTTCACTCTTCCTGACTTTTTTGTGTTGCCTCTTTGGCAGAAAGCGGGTAAAGCCAGAGGTGATTTTTTTTTTACTAGGGGAGGGGGGGGTCTCTTCTTTCTACTTTGGCGCTTTTTAGGGGCTTCCTCGCTGCTTTCTTTCTCCATTGCTGACCAACCATTTCCTTATTAATGCCTCTCCAACCCCCAACACTTTTTGGGGATTTAGTTTTTTCCAAATCCCTGAGCTAGGATCAGCATAATCTATCACTATGCACATTGTACAAACTCAGGCCTCCTCTCTATCTCCATGCCGCATTGTCATGTTGAAATCGGATTAGATGGGAAGCCATTTGCCTCCACTGTGTCAGTTCTGGACTGTTTTTGTATGTTAGCACAAGGAATGACAAAAAGCTTGCAGGCAGTATCACCATTGTGCATCAAGAGAATGACGAGTAGCTTGACGTTTGAGTAGAGAATGTTTGGTTGCATTTCCTTGAAGGCATTCAAGAAGGTGCAGTTATCAGTTGTTTGAGAGAATCGTTAATATCTGTACTTATAATGGGTTTTATGCAATACTATTAAGGATTGCTGGACACAGACCAGAGACACTTGACTTGTTTTTAATAAAGGAAACTAAACCAGCTTTCTGGCTTGTTTATTTATAATCCCTGGCTCTGAATGAGCTTTTGGAAACAGATTTGCTTTCCTCCCCGTCTACTGCATCCACCCCTCGACGTGTCAACAATCAAGAAGATATTATCATAATTAGATCACTGGCACTGCATTAGGATTACACAGATCTGCCAACATCATTTCCACCAGACATTGTATTGGTTACCTGACTCTACCCTGGGTATTTTCTCCCTTCCCTCACCATCCGCACAAATATATGCATAGATGGAGAGCCGATGTACCATGAATTAGCCATGAGGTGGATGGACGTGAACTAGATTCCAGCTTTTAGAATATTTCTTTTCTGAGGAACAGCTGAATCTCCGGGGAAAAATCGAGTGTTACAGACTTCCGAGTGTACAGAATGTGTCCAACATAGTCTTTTACCTATCTCCTTGTGGAAGTACTCTGTGTAGAATTACATGGAATTTGAATGGGATGGACTACAATGGTACTGTCTACACAATGGTGTATCAGTGGCCTAGCCTTAACAACAAAGGCGAGGCTCAGGGTTCAACAAGCCAACAGGAGTCTTATCTGCGAGAGTGTGTTCACCCTGATAAGTGCCCTCGGTTATCTCGTTCTTCCTTTTGTTTTTTCCTCCTTCAAGGGCCCATTTGCTTCTTTTGTTTTTCTGTGTCCCTGAATTAGATTTACTATTGTCTTTTTGATTAGCCAGTTTCCAGTACGTAATCCAAACCCCTCCCATCCAGCCAGCCGTAGAAACACATGTAATCCAGCGTTCATCACACATAGTTTTCTCCTTGGTGTGAGGGCCAAAACATGGAAAGGTGATCTGTGTTTCAATGTCAGTCAAACCGCTCTTATCGCCTCCACCATAATCTTGCGGTTTGCCACCAATTGTGAAACCTAATGCTGAGAGAGCAGAGCACGTTCACTTTCCCTTCAAATCCAGTTGTTCTCAAGTACCTCTTGATTATACGTCTGCATGTAACATATCTGTAGAAAGCCCATCAGCCATCCTTTAACCCAAACCAAACCCACTCTTGTTAAAAAACAGATTCCCTTTTTGAAACAAGCCTCATCATCTTTCAGCACTGTAGCGTTTAAGGTTTTTTTCTTTTTTTGTTGGTCGGATAAGGGGTGGGGCACGGCTATGCCTGAGTCAGCAAGGCAGATTGAGAGTGTATATTTGGCCTTGTTTGTAAAAAGTGTTCATTTTGTATTAAGTCTGAACACTTTGGAACATAACATCCAGCAGTGAGGTTTAAGTAAAGATGAGCTCAGGGTAAACCCATTCGATAATTAAATGCATTGTAAGCTTAATTGCAATACATATTAATAAGGGGTAACAGGCTTGATGAAACCCAACTCCAAATCCCTAATATGGTGAAATGTGAGGTCATGTTTAGAAATTCCTGCAAATGTTTCCCTGTGGTTGTTTATGCAGTAAATACGAGTTCTCTGTTTTCTGTCAGTAGTGAGATATCTTTTGAGTGAGTGAGCGTGCTGATGTTGGACGGCTGCCTGCACTAATAGGTTTTGGAGCCCTGTAATAAGGCTAAACAGGCTCAGTGACTCATTGATTACAGAACAGCACACTCCATCAACTTGATTACATTATGCAAGACGTTGCTCCACCTTACCCTTCTCCTAACCTCCCTTTTGTGTCTTTTTGTATCTGCAGGGAGCTGATGCCCAAGACTCTGGAGGGCCAGATCACCATGGAGAAAACCCCCAGCTACTTTGTGACCAGAGAGGCTCCGGCCAGGATATCCGCCATGTCCCGGGACACCAAGCTGATCGTGGTGGTGAGGGACCCCGTCACCAGGGCCATCTCGGACTACACACAGACTCTGTCCAAGAAGCCGGACATTCCCTCTTTCGAGAGCCTCACCTTCAAAAACAGGACTACGGGGCTCATCGACACCTCGTGGAGCGCCATCCAGATCGGCATCTACGCCAAGCACCTGGACAACTGGCTGCACTACTTCCCCATGGAGCAGATCCTGTTTGTGAGCGGCGAGCGTCTGATCAGCGACCCGGCCGGAGAGCTGGGCCGCGTGCAGGACTTCCTGGGGCTCAAGAGGATCATCACTGACAAACACTTTTACTTCAACCAGACCAAGGGTTTCCCGTGCCTCAAGAAGGCAGAGGGCAGCAGCAAACCCCACTGCCTGGGCAAAACCAAAGGGCGGACCCACCCCAACATTGACCCTGAGGTGGTGCAGAGGCTACGGGACTTCTACAGGCCCTTCAACATGAAGTTCTACCAGATGACGGGACATAACTTTGGTTGGGATTGATGTGAAAATCATCAAAGACTTTTTTTTGATGAGAAGTTTTTTTTTTTCCTTCTGTAATTCAATGGCAAGATGTGGAGATATTGCTATATATATGTAAAATGTACAGAAATCTATTTTATAATAATTTATTTTTATTTCTAAGCAATTAATTCACTAAGCTGCCTAACCATATTTGTACATAACATCTGGCCCACATGTTGTTTTTAACATTCCTCATTTTAATTTTGAATTCTACCGCTCCTCCCTCGTGGTCCTGTAAACTCAGCGGATTTATCAGTGCTGCCGTAACGCAGATAATCAGCGATGGCTGAAGTCGAAATTAGGGTGGAAAATGTAAAAGCACCATATTACGGGTACAGAGCGCTCACTAAGAAGTGGAGAACACCTATCCATGAGCATCCTCATTTTATATGCATCATAACTTTCATCATTTAAAACCATCATTCTGAGTGTAATTCTTCACTGCAACACAGACCTTACAATTAAGTTTTCCTCTATCTAATTTTCCTCCACCGGCATCATTTTAAGCTGCAGATCTCATGTCCCTTTCCACTCAATAACAGTTAGATCAATAAGCCTAATTGATCTTCATTGTGTCACTCATGCTTAAAGTATACAGCTGCCCTTTCATTCTCACTGCTCCTGCTGCCTGCTCTAATGAATGACCCATCCATCAAACCTTAAATCCTATCCTGGACCACATGGACCCATGTTAACATTATGCTAATCGGGTAAAGGTAACTGGCAGATCGATGGAGTCTCCGTTCTCTGACTCCCCATTAGAAGCAGTGTTGGCTGAGAGCCAGGCTCTTGCCCTATCTGCTCAGTTCAAAGGTCATGCAAAGTCTCAATCAAATTTCCTTGAGAGGCATTTGATTTGTTGAGGAAAGCGGAGCCGGAGCACCGAGGGTCATTGGGAGTGTGGAGTCATTGCGTGAAGCTCATATATCAGGAATGGAGCATATATATAGAAAATATGACAGACAAACAACAACTCAGCTTTGCCTCATTGAAACAGAGCTTTTTCAAAAAATAGTCCGCCAGGCCCCATATGAGATCCCAGACTGAAGAGATCAAAGGCAGAGGAAAGGGTTTTGTGAAGCACTCTCAGCACAGCAAGAATTGCCACAGGCGGGGGGGTTCAGTGTCTAACCTCTCTAGTGTCGTCAGAAAACCTCATGTGCCATCATCCATGGCCTATATACTTTATGCCTTATTCACTCACGTCATCCTCTCACGTCTCACAATCTCAACTTTCTACTTGTTGCCAAAAAAAAAAGAAAACAACCACTGGGTTGATATCACATTTCACACAGCTTGAGTCGATACCTCTGCTTTTTTCTGCTTCTTTGTTTCTGTCTTTCTACTTGAATTCTTGATATGCAAGAGGGAGAAAAATGTGTGCTTATCATTCTTTCATGTGTTGCCCCATCTCTTTGCAGCGGGTGGGACACACTACCATAAGGGCAAAGGGAGGTGGCCGTGCTATGCTATGCTATGGTGTGCTACGCTAGGCTATGCATGCTCAATGTGGCAGCCAATATTTAAATAGAGGGATGATGGGAAGGAATTATAAGCATCCACAGGAGTGCATCATGTGTTTAAGCAGGGCCAGACTGAATGTACACAAACTATCCTCACACTAAAACACCCTCAAATCAATTTTTAACTGTCAGATTGTAACTCAGTTTTAGTGAAAAGTTACATTTGATTGACCCTATTTCTTTCTGAAGTTATGAAAATGTAGTGCCTCTTTAACTATCAAATTCAACACACTTAGCCTGTTCCTGTCATTAAGACAGAGAATTACCCCAATTCAGCTATTTCTACTATTTTCCAGTTGAAACCAGCTGCTTGGTTTAGCCTCAAACCAATGGTTGGAAGCAGGGGAGATGAAAGCTTGCTACACTGCATTTTCTGTAGTGCTATTTTTTTACTTTGACTCTACAAGAGCGAGGATTCTTTTAGCATGATTTTATGTGGAGAAAGCCTTCATCCCCCCTTCTCTTCTTTGTGCAATGTTCGATTATCAAAAAGCATTTATGATGACCTCTCTCAGTAAGCTGTCACACTCTGGAAGGATAGTCTGAGATTTTTCCCTGTAATTGATGGAGAATTGCATATGGATTCCGGTCAAGTTTATGTAACTGAGGGAAAACCTGAAAAAAACAAAACCACAACAACAACTCGCACTCATGGGTTCACTCCGTGTTGCTGCATCGGTTATGGTTGAGTTTTATTCAACCTGTCTTTGAAATCTAAAAATGTTAAAAAATGTTTGTCTTACCCACATATAATATGTATTTAGACTAGCAGATCTGTATGTACAAAAATGAAAAAGACATGTAAATCAAGTATTTTGTGGTATGTACATCAAAGGAATACATTTTACACAATGCAAAAGCAAAATGGAACAGATGTTTCTAGATGATTAAATACTGAACATTCAAAAGATTTCTTTGTATGAAGAAATAAATAAAAAAGTATATATTTTACCAAATCTGCTTGTGCCTGACTTTTATTTGCCTGATTCTCATGTGGAGTTTTATTAAAATGGAAAATTATATCCTTGCATTCAAGTGTAACTGTTTAATCATTTGCATCGATCCATCATTGAGTAATACACAATTGCATTCAAACTTGATCAAAAGCGTCACAAAATCTGTCCTTAGAGAGATGGAGAGAAAAATAAACACCTTGAGAAGGTGTCTCTTAAAGCACATTTTGCCATTATGACACACACAAACTGTACACACACACTTACAAGAGGGAAACAATGTGTCTCTGTCATGGCTGGTAGAATTAAACAACCTTACTTTGATATTGTTACCTATAACCCAAATAATAATTGGAGGATAATCACATAACATTTCTGGTGGGCTTTAACATATATATATATATATATTTTTTTTTTAAATTGTATTCAATGAAATGCTCTCTGGGTCATTTAGAGTAATGGGTATACTACTGGTTTTGGGGATACATGCTGTGATCATCACAAAGTTATTTGGACCTGCACAGCAAGACAAGTTGATTTATATATCAATAACAAGACAAATCAAAGAGTATGTGTGAAAAATAGAGATATCAAAAAACCTGGATAAATGGAACCATAACTGTCCTCTACATGTCTAAACACCAGTTGAAGTATAGTGGGTTATTTAGGTTGTACTGGCCCTTTAATTGAGCGACGCTTCAGTGAACAGCTCATTAACGCTGTATCAAACACACCTGCTGTAATTAAGATCGAAAGGCCACGCCCACTCTGTTTCGATGCAGTGTGGCTACCTGCTCTTTACTTTCATTAGCAAGCTAGCTACCAACAGTGTGATTATATATTTTTAAGATGACATTGTGGAGTCAATAATGTGTGTTTTCGACGCTCTATTGTTGCTGCTTGGCTCCAAAAATATTATTTTACCTTTTTTTCACATCGGCTGTGGACACAGGTACACCTCAAACTGGAAGTAATCCGTGACGTAGCAGTTCAGAGCTAGGAGACTGCCAAAGGAGAAGCCTTCAATAAACCAAGGTAGGCTAAATGCTAACTGTTTGTGCTGCTAACATGCATGTTTTGAGTTGTTGTTTTGGCTATGTGAAGTTGTTGTTTGTGAAATAACAGTAGTTTGGCTGCTGGCATGTCATTCCTACTCTTGTGTGTCTAGATTTTTGCTCTGGTATTTGCTGTGATTAAGTTAAGTGGACAAGCTTGTGGTTTAGTTACTGTTTAGAAAATGATGGGACTTTAATGCAATTCAATTTAACTGCTGAAAAAATATGAATGATCAGGTTTCAGTAGTTCTGTGACATATTCCCAATGTTTGCATTGTTTGCCATAAGCCAGGTTTATATATTTTGTGGTTGTCCTCTGGCTCCCTGTAAACCATGGCTGCTAGTGATGTGTCTTGTGATTTATGGATTAAAACATGGCTGGTATATTATTTTACCTTGTTGTAAAATAAAATTACCTCTGATTGGGAATTCTATACACACCTTTTGGGGAATTCTTTACACACTGAGCTAAAAAGTACTGGTCATATGTGTCCGGTGGTATTATTATTCTTGATACATCTTAACTGCTGCCCTCCTGTTATATACTCGCTACACCCACTCCAAAATTGGTACTTCCTCTCCTGCTAATGCTTGCAATACCACATCTGTCTGATTCAAGCAATGACTTATTGTGCTTTTAATGTACACAATTTACTATCTGCTGCACAGTTAATGTATATTGTAGTGCTGCAGTATACCAGGTGGATTGCTGGGTATGGTTTATCCATCTCAGTTCCTCACATAGTACATTCTCTTTATGGTGTTATATGTCTAATGCAGTTTTGTCAGGAAGTCTTCCTTTTTCTCCTGTGTATGCTTGTTGTGGTGATGTACCGTAATCTTCTTATACATTCTCTGTGGTCATGTAATAATTCCCCTTGTAAATTGTCTACACATAATATTCAAAAGTGGAATCCTGAAGTAGTAGCAACCCCAACATTGGTTGGGATGTTCTCGACACACCATTTCAAAGTATCAGATAGGATAATTGTCATACAATATGCATTCTTTACATATTCAGTGTTTGTGGAGCTATATTCATAATGTAAAGTTACACTTTATCTTGCGGTTTGATGTTTTGCAATTCAAACTTGCTTTAAAGTTATTATTTTGTAGTTTTATAGGACATTTAAAATGGATGTACTATATTGGCCTTCAAACAGCATAGTTCTTCCAACTTTAACACTTGTTTCCAGTAGGTTTGTTTTTCTGCCTCTTGCTTTTCACACTTGAGAGCAGTATGTTTGTGAAACATTTGACAGTTCAATATTTACACTTCATATAAAGCAGGCACAACCGATATTTGAAGCTAGCCTCCTGTTCAATATGTGGTGTCACTGAGTAAGCAGCATAGCAGTGTGTGATGTGTAAAAGCTGGCTTTCTGTGGAGGGGTTGCTAAAAAAAAAAGTCCTGGCAAATTTTTTGTTTTTCTGTTTCCTGCTCAGGCTGGCACTGTGGTTTTGGAAGTGGGGGGTCTGTGTGGTTTCAGGTGACCCATAGCTGTGTGGGAGGTTTAGTTGCTGGGTCTGCCTGCTTATCGGAAATGCCCCCTACTATTACCAACACCCTCACTGCCTGTAAAAGCAGCCAATGTTTCCTTATGGCTCATAATGAGTTACACATCCATGGCTGTTTATTTACAAGCATCTGAAACACCTCCTGTGTATTAACAGGGCCCCCATTCACAATATCAGAGGTGATGTATTTACTAACCTGTCCACGGACAGGGATGTTGACGTCCGCAGCAAATTGAGGCTGAAAGTTTTATGGGGAGTTTGGCCATTTTAATATGCCACTATGTATCCCAACAGATACATATCACACAGAGTTAGAAGTCACAAAATGATGTTTTGACAGTTCAACTTTTCTTTCAACTTAAATAGCTACAAAAAGTTGTATCAGATTAAAAACAAATATGCTTATAATTTGCTCCTTGGTTTGAATGGAATTTTCTTATGTTCCACAAAAAACAATATTAAAACAAACCTATATAAATTATAGTAACAGGAACAATCAATCTCAAGTATACAGGAGGTTACATTAAATAGTCTTAGCCACAGTTTACAAGAGTTCAGGAGATTCAAAATAAAAATCAGTTCCATTATGATTCAGTGAAGTCGCCAGACCTTAGGACTGATCCGAGTGGGTAGGTTGAACATTTGTTAAATCCTACAATAGATCCAAATACATTTTTACCCACTTAATGTTCAACTCTTATGAAACATAATTTACTAGGAGCAAAAGTACAAACAATGTTCCTAATATTTAGTACAAATTCAATTACTGCAACTGAACCAGTGAACCAAGATTTGCAAGTGATCAACTTAATTACATAAGAAAGCCCATTTTAGTGTGGATTCACACACATTCTAAAATGTGCTGCACCCTGCACCAAGATATTTTACAGTATTTAAATTCTACCAAGTGAAGTGTGGACTGATCTAGATTCCTTAAGTTATAATTGGCTCTGAATCCATGTTTTCTCTTTGTGTTCTCATGGGTATAGACGCTCTATATCTGACTGACACATCCTGCTCCATGCTTGTGTGTTCCTTTTTTTAGGTTGCACAAACAAAACCAACAAAAGGTCCCTGCTGCGGTACATAACTCAAAATGGGTCCTATCAAATAAGGAAGATTTGGTATTAAAGTACACTGTGATTTTAAGTCTAGTATACTTTCACTTTAACGGGCAGATTGGATGGGATAAAACATTTAATAATGCAAGTAAACTTCCCATCCAAATGTGTATCGGCGGAACTCACCGAATAGTCTTTCCAACCCCCAAGGAAGAGGTGGGCTCTAATGAGTGGAACATGGCAGAAATCCCCACAGTACGCATGCTGTGATGTAGTGGCAAATAAAAAGGTGGGAAAATTATTTCCTTCCTGTCAGTCACCGACATCCGATGGCTTATAAAAACATTAATATAGTGTAAAAAAAAAATTGGGTAATGTATATCCGCACAATAATGACTTTATCCTATGAATTCTATAAAACCAAACTAGATTTATAACTATAAAATCTGTTTTGCTAAAATCATGCAGTGGGCAAATTGAGAATAACATTGTATGTATGCCAACACGCCAACTGTGTTTCCACTTGGAGACAAGTCTCCCAAGACAGACAATGCTGATGTCCAAAGAAGGACACAGATGTGGCTGAGACACTGCCAGCTGGAAATATTGGCTAATATCGCTAAGGGGGAGGTTCATAGTGGCACCTCTCCTCCTCAGAGCCACTTAACCCCAATGGAAAATGTGTCACACAAAGTAAACAGTGGTCTATATTACTGCACAATATAATACTTTGCACCAGTGTTTCCGCCAGACCAGGGCTGAGAGGGCGTCCACCTCGAGAGCGGGGGGGGTGACGTTGAATTTAGAATTGAGCCGTCCCTTATAGATACTAGCTCTTTACAGTACGTATGCACACACACACAATTTTGAATTGCGCCATCCCTTATACTATCTCTTTACGTCTCCCTGCCGACAGGGACACCCCTCCTTGCATGGTCCTTGGAAGATGTGTTTTTTTTCTTTTTCGTCACAGGAACGCGCTTTGCTGGCGGCGAAAAGAATCCCACCAGACTCCTTTGCCCCTCCAACAGAGGGATGTCCTTGTCCTTTTTCCTTTTCGTAATTTCAAGTGATAAAAACTCTTGATCTTCTCTAAAATTATTATTTTTTTTGGACGCCCTCGGCTCGAGTTCAGGGCGTTCCAAGCTGAATAAGAGCTTCAAATGACGCCAAGACGCCCCCCTGGCGAAAACGCTGCTTTGCACATAGAGCTATCAGTATCCATTTGTAGCAGAGCACTTTGTGGTTTTCACATGCAGGTAGGGACTTGCTTCCCATCAGAAATTATCGCTAACATGTACAAGTCTGGAGCTGGATAATTGCTCAGCTGGAGCACTGAAAGACACACCGGAGAGGAACACAAACAGGA